GGGGGGAGATATTTGATCCGATGAACGATGACTGCTGCTGTACTTACTACAGCCCATCGTCTACAGTACCGTGCTATTGTCCACTAGCAAAGTTGGGAAATGATCATTTGGGAAATGCTCGGTTGAGAGGATCGCAGATTTCCATGTATTATTGTACACTCCCCTTTCTTAGCTATGAAGCATGAATCAAAGGACAATCACCACTCCAATTCCTTGTTCTGTGTGCCGCATCCCTCGCTCGGACGTGCCTTGGTCCAATCATAAACCCCGCCTCTCGTGAGAAATGTAGTCTGCTCCCACCGTACTTGACTCATGGCTGTCTTCACCCCAACATCTAGAATACTCTCCCTTGCTCTCTCCTCTCCATCGCCTTTATCCAGGAAGGTCATACTCTCGTCCAAGATCAAGTAGCTCCCTTTTATCATGTCATTGCTCTCAGGAACAAAACACTCCAGATGCTTGTGTTGATCGCAGAATGTTTGCCATTGCTGCTGACTTACGAGAAGCGAACGGGCATCGCGCTTTCGCTCCCCGTTGTCATTCTCGCCGGTAACGATCAAGCACTGGAACACCTTCCACCGGAATGGCTGCAATTGCGTGATTAGATGAGATAGGTCTTCGTTCTAATTGAGACTACAGAGACAACCGTATTGATCTTGAACTTGATGCCCAGTTCTCTACACCAGCCGGCAATTTTCGTCAAGGTCTTGATGTTGTCCCCGTCTTTGCCTCTTCCGATCTGGATGTTAGTATTAGGGTCGAACGAATCGCAGGAGATAGCGAGGATGTCAATAAAGGCTGCGTGCTTGCGCAAGAACTTCTCCTTGATCTTGGAGCCGTTTGATACGATGCTGATTCTTTCTATCTTCAAGTCGACTTTTCCGCAACGCAGAAGGGGTCCCAGGAAGTTGGGGTACAGGAAAGGCTCGCCACCAGCAAAGTTGAGCTTTTTCATTCCCGCTTCCTTGAGCAGCCTCATGCCGCGCTGGGCGTCTTCCAGAGATAGCATAGAGGACGTCTTTTCCGTGTAGTAACAGAAGCCGCAGGTGTAGTTACACTTGCGAGAGAAGTGGTAATTCACTGAGGTGGGTGCTGTTGTCGTACGAGCCTCATGAAGGCGGTAGAGGTGGTAGAGGATATATACGGTGGTGCTGAAGAGGCAAAAGGCCCCTAAGAGACTGGTCGCGAAGAGAAGAGGAGTGCTTGGGATGACTGAAGACAACGACATGTTGGTTGGCGAGCAGAACCGTATGAAGGTAATGTCCTTGGAAATGTTAGGGGGCCTTGCTATATGAATAGATGTCAGTGAATGTACAGCCACAACCACTATATCAACAATACAGATTGAGGAATAACTCAAACAGATACGTGAGGTGGGCTGCTAGACGTGATGCATGATACGTTTGTTTGGTGTCCGTACATACCTTTGGTAAGAAATAGGTAATGCGTGCTGTGTGTCGCGGTGGGTGTGTGTGTTGAGAAAGAGAAAGAAAGCTTTTGTTAACTCTGACTAGTGTGTTGGTGTGTCTTTGGCTAAGAACAGTCATTTTCCGCATTCACCTTTGAGTTCTACTAGAAAATGAGATTGAGAGTCGTCTACAAAACAATTCACAACGGAAACCATCTAATTTGAACAACTCACTACAACCTTGCGCACCTCATTTACCGTCGAAAGCGCTGTAGAACCAACATGTCCCCAAACCTCTTGTTAATCTTTGTGCTTGGTACGTACCATATATCTCCCCCGGGCCTTCCTATCATTAATTCTCGTGCTTTGTGGGCTCACTGCAAAATAGGGCCTCCAGCAGCGGGGAAGGGTACTCTCTGTGGCAGCTTGACAGGACAATACGCCGTGCAACACATGTCAGTTGGCGACGTCCTGCGAAAGGTTGCAACGAACAACAATCACCCGTCCATCAATCAAAAGCTAGAGAAACAAGAACTTATCAACGCAGAAGAACTGCTGCCCATCCTGAAGGATAAGCTGTCTGAGGCAGGCTTGAAAGACCCGGAGCGAAGGGTAATGCTCATAGACGGCTTCCCTCGTAGCAAGGCACAAGGAGAGGCATTTGAAGCTCAGGTAAAGTCAGACAGATATTATTCCTCCGGCGTACTAATGCATTGAGTATCTCGCAGCACCACAACTTGTCCAACTCTTTAGATGTGACAAAGAGGTTGCAAGGAAGCGATATCTGGATCGCAAGCGAGGCAAAGACGATGACGCGATGTTTGAAAAGCGATACCACGAGTACGAGATAGAGAGTGAGGCTATTGAGAGTGCGTACGGAAAACGGGGGCTTGTATTAGAGGTGCAGGTTGATACCGAGATCTTGGAATCGTGGGACAACCTCCAGAACCTCCTTGCGCAAGACCAACGATGGAAAAGTCTTTTCGTCAGGTAATTCAGCATCGTGTATGTAGAGAGGAACCACTATTTTCTCCTAAATTCTCCACTGCTTCCCTTATCCGCGCGAACCGACCCTCTGACTTGCTTTTTTCCTTTGCTATTAGCTACCTATCTTCTCATACCCTCCTTAGAAAATGCATCCACATAGCTATTCTCGATGTTCAGCTGTGATTGCCTCCTTCGAGTGCTAAGGTTGCAGATCCAACACCGGCTAGTTGACAGTAGAGATGTAACTACCACAAGTCCGCCATTGAATAAATCCAAGAGTCTATCCCTCAGCGATGCTATAGCTCCAACCCACCCTAAGATTTGCTGGTTGTGATGTGCATTCTGCTCATCAACATAACTGTCGAGGTCGTCCCCGGTCCATTCATGATGTCCATATCTCCAATCGAAATATTCGACAAATCTAAAAAGATCCGCTAACTTCCTTAACCTGTTTCCATACATGTGACACTGTAGAAATGGTAATCCAGGAGCCTTGGACCATTGTAACCGATAAGACGCATAGTTATTGGTTGAATCAACAAGACTCCAGAATAGAGAGAGCGATTCAGGGTGACAACTAGCATTGGAAAGGCCAATAAGCAGAGCCGTTGCAGAGTAATAGTTTCGCAAGCGTAAAAAATGCTATCCCAGTTCCCAGTTAGCAATTTACGCTGCATAGAAAGACCAAAACGTACCTTGACACTTTCACCCATAGGATTGATCAAGTTTCTGTCAACAGTACAACATGCCTTTACATTATCTGCAAGTTTTGCCCAACGTAAGATAAAGTCCTTTGAATCCAAGAGCTCTACAGAAAATTTGCGAAAACAAGCCTCATCCTCGCTCGTAATTAACTCGGCTAGTGCTCCGGGTGACTGTATACTAATCCTGTCCAAAAAGCAGAAATCAGCAGAAAGAAGGCTTTCCCATTTACCATCTTCTTCGCAAACAACTTTGTCGTAGTATATCACCGACAAGATAGCCAGGCGCTTGAGCATTTGGGTAACAGACAAGTCCTTGCTTTCAAAAACGTCTTGAATTGGGCCGAGGATAGCATTGAGCGCGTCAAATGGGTCGGGTACGGCATCAAAACATCGCAGGGCAGTAGATACAACCCAATACGCTAGAGGGGACCGAGATCGTAATATCTATCAAATATGTTAATATCTCTTACTTCCACCAGGCCTAACAAAGTTTACCTCCTCAACTGACTCGTATTTGTCCTTCGATTGATGGAGTTCATAGAAACATGCTTGAAGGTTATTCCTGAAAGCAGATATCCCTGCTAACAGGTCTGTGATAATCTCCGTGGGGCAGCCACAAGCTGCTCTTACAAGCTCCGCGAAAGGTACTTTGTAGAACATATAAGATATTTCTGAATCGATGATACCAGCAATCTGAGCAGCATTACATGGGGCCATTGGGAGTGATGCACTCCATTCCCAATTCCAGATAGGAGGGCCCGGTCTTTTCGCTCCCATATGCCGTAAAACATCCTCAACCTTGCAGTAGTCATTTTCGCGGACGCTTTGACGCTTCTCGGTCGGCAGTGGAGGAAGAGATCCCAGAATATTATCTAGCGTTGTCGATGAAAGCTGCGACAATAATTTGGAGAGGGTTGACAAGTTTTGAAATGGGAAAAATAGGCAGACTGATTTGATTTCGCTCGAGTCAGTGGAGGTAAGGAGCACTTCCCGGGCCTCTTCTTCGCGCACAGCGAAGTAGTTAACATAGCCCCCGTCTTGATCTGATGGAGAGATTGGTGTAAAGCCTCGGGGCGTGCAGGCTGTCGCTTCAGATGTACTGCCTAAGGGGGCCATAGTGAAGGAACTCATTATATTGGAGCGTGTAGCACGAGGCAAACTTGCAGATAACGCAAACAAACAAAAGGGGAGAGGTAGGAGATTCGTAGGCCGTATGCATTTTGCCTCGTTCCACCGCTGCTTCTTATACACTGAAATAGATCGCCAGGAGCAGACACGACGAGGTTGACGACCCACAGACACACAACTCCGTCGTCAAGAGCCATGCTAGAGGGGTTAGGGAGACAGACCCTGTTCGTGCTTCTGCTGAGTCGGGGCAACAGTAGTTACCTTTTCGTGCCTACCTTTCGACGGGCAGGGATGAGTTTAACAGTGTCCCGGATATTTGGAGGTCCAATACGCTAAGCGGGTATCCAAAGTCCTTCGGTGGTTGCACAAGGGAGGCTGCCAGGTGATCAAAAGCGCTAAGTGGGCCATCAAATCCATAAATTGGATCAAACAAAACCATCCAAAACGGAGAAAGCACACAGTCAGCCACAATTGCTCAGTCCGAGAGTAACCCATCCGCTTGGAGTGAATTTAAATTTCTCTGCGGAATACAGAAAAGAAACTATCTGTCTTGGTACTGAGTGCTGTACCAGTTTCAGTGCTGGACAGGATGCATTACCCTTCGTGAGACATACTGCATCGCAGCAATGTTCAGCCTCGTCTCGTTCGAGGCTGGGACGATGCGTGCGTGCCCAGTGCTCTCGGCAACTTTTAGCCACCAATCCGATAGCGTGCACGATTCTCGCCATCACCACCACAAACCTATTCCCAGCACGAAATCTTCTCACGACCGTTCTAAGGAATCTGCCCGCTATCGCGATCGCGTCCTCCACACGAGATCCGTCTCTCCTTCTGCCACGCGAGTTGGTTCAGTGCGAGGCTTTGTTTCTGCATACCCCGCATCCTCGAATAATGCCGGTGGAAAAAGAGAAGAGAAAACCCCAAAACGCGAAATCTCTCAAGGCGAACCTCGACGCAAAGGCAAGGTTGAAGGATAAAGAGGCGATATGTAGTTTAATTCAAACAGAGGTAAGCACGCGGTCAAATAGCTACAAGGGGAATATTGCTAATCATCATTTCTAGCTTGAGGTTGGCGGGACTGCAACATATAAGTTTTCACCCAAAGGAGATCGAGCCACAGTCGCATTATCGAGCGAGGAGAAGCATCTTGTCTTTATTATCGGTGGTGGTTTTACAGTCGGTAGTAGTATAATGGAATATGTTGGGAATGGGTTGGGGCATTCTGTATACGACGAAGACACTCTCACGTTGGCCCCAGGAACCGTCTTGGTGATAATATCAGGATATTAAAATTGGTAATATTCCAAGCTGTCAAAGCCCTATTGGTGGTCGACGATTTCTTCAAGAAGCTCCTGATCCTGCTTCTGCTGCTGTTCTTGCTGTATTTGTAGTCCCATCCGTTGATGCTCCTCCGTTATCTGCCAGGTAGGATCTATCACATCATCAGCAGAGAAAGCAGACAAGGGTGCACCCACTCACCTTCTAAGTTCTGCCAGTTCTGGGAAGGAAAAGTACCATCGTGTGTGTGGTTATCTGTCTGTGGACTGATCTGTCGCATAATCTGTAGTGGGAAGTTCGGCAGCTCCAGATGAAGGGAGGCTAGTGTGGGCAACGCTTGCGGTTGATAGATGTGTTCCTGCGATGAGATATCTCTTGTATTTGACGGGTTATGGAGTAGAGGAGCCGCGCTCAGTAATTGTCGTTTGGGTGCGGTCGTCGGGTTGGACTCGCTCTCTGCTCAACGTTAACGATGCATTTATCTAATAGCGAAGGATTGCAAACCTCGCCGCCTCTTTCTTGCCTGCACCAGCGCCTTCCGCGCTCGCTCTGTAACCTCGGAATTTATATTCTTGTCCTAGCGCCTGATGTATCCCTCAATTTGCTTATGCGGTGTAAGAAGGTTAAACAAAGAGATCAATTTCAAAACTAGCCCCGGAGCTGATGACAGCAGCTGTTTGACCTTATGTAAAATAACTTTCCCTGCTACCCGAAGAATCAGTCTGGGTTTCGTGCCTGCGTAACGACTAAAGAAAGCGTCTGGGGTATCAGGGACCGCTGTCCAACTGGGTTTGAGTAGTATTTCACGATGATAGTGGTCGAGATTCTAGTTCTTGACATTATTGTCGATAACAGCCCTTATATTCCCCAGTTCCTTTCGAGCGAGATCCTCTATCTCAATCAGGAGGAGTGCCTTCGAGACTTCTTCGCGCGGGAACCCAAGGTTACGGGTTGCGACAATGACTCTCTCGTACTGGGCCGCTTCATGCTCCAAAGCATTTAGCGTCGAGTTGCATTCCTGAGGCAGCTCGGACATAATTAGAACTGGGCGACAGAGAAAAGCGACCTGGTGAGGTCGGAAATCCACAATAGGGTTGTCGAAATCGTTTATGAGCTGTAAGAATGCAGGTTTAGCTTTTCAAATCCGCGAGAGGGGTTTCTAAATGCACCAAGTGGGGCGCAGAAGTCCATTCTATGGCAGAAAGCCATCATAGGCAAAAGCCGGCACGGCCCGGAGACTTTCCGGCCGAATGGCAACAGTGAAGGAAGGTGTGGGGCGACGCTCTTCGGAGCCTGTAAGTGGGACCGTTCCCACGGCCGTTGTCTCCGCCGACGAGCAACTCAGTAAATGGTAACTCTAGTGAGGTCAATTGTAATCCGTTCGAAACTATATATTTTATCGACCTACCTCGACTGATGTGAAGCTTCAGATCAATTCGTCTGCAATTTATCCTACAATGTCCATCACAGTAGGAGACATACTCTCACAAAGTATCCGAACCCACGCTATATACACCCTCGATGCACCCAATGTTACGCTTAGCAAGAAGTCGTGGACTGATGATTACCGGTCAATTACTAACCCAAACTTCCATGACTCTAGCTTTGATGTGGTCAATCAATTTCTTGCTAAAGATCATTACATTCCTCCGGGCCCGACTCATAACAAGTTGTATACTAGCGATCCTACCGACCGCGACCGCCTTGCGCGGCAAGTCTCCCCGCTCAACGCTCTTGATTATATGCACAATCTTCAAGAGGGCGACGTAGTTCGAGATTTCCATCAGAATATTGCATTCCCAGTTTCTCTTGCCTGGCAAAGGCATGGCCATTTCATGGAAAGGTCGGAGTCGGGTCCTCCAGGTCTAACAAACGTCACCAAAACTGTGGATCATTTGTTTTCGTGGATGCCTGAAGGACTTGCTAATAGTGAAAGAAGCCAAGTAATCGGGGAGTTGAAAAAGCCTGGTATTATCAAGCCTGACGAATGGAATGGGACAAGGCATAAGTCGGACGTAACCAACCGACTTGGGAAGGAAATCAGAGGGTAAGCTCCTTCCTCTAACCTCGAAACAATAACAGAGATTGACCTTCATTCAAAGATACGCTTATCTGTATGAATGCCCGCAGGTGTTTGTCTACGATGGAGCAAACCTTCTAATTATCCAATTCAAGGCTAGGGACAGAAATGAAATCAAGGAGGGAGGTTGTAACATCGATTGCTGTATTTTACCGAGATCGTCACCTGATCCAACTATCTGTACTCCGGGATACGGTTTGTACCGACTCCGCTGGCGGGGCTGGATGCGGATGGCAGGGGCAGGGGATCACGTCTCGCTCAGGGGTTGGGATCGGAGATTTCGGTATTGGTCTGGAACACCATATTGGAACAATCCAGCAAGCAACGACAGAGTGCCTGACCATCCTGACGGTTATAAGAGAAGATTTGACGCGGTAGCTAATGCGTGGTATTGGGAAAGACGTGACGGAAATCGTGAAAGGGATGGGGACGGGAATACTGTCTGGGATACTCTGTCAGTTTGGTGAGATGGAAGCGGGAGCGGGTACGTGCATACCACCATGCTGTGCTGTTTGGTTCCTCCATATAAGGAGCCATGACCACCTCTGTATTCTTTCTTGAATCATTCTTCGCAATGAATATTCATCATGATAAACCCAGGTCTCGTTTGAGTTTGACATACGTGCGACCTCCTTCCCCACTTGTAGAGATGCAGCCGGATGAGATTAGCGGTCCTTTGGTAAGGTCCTGCCTGATTACATATCTAATCGGATTTTAAAAGATTACCACCAGCTAATCGCTAGCAGGAGTTCTTCATTGGCCACCGGCGCATTACTTTAACACGAGCCGACCGGCTTGACCCGTGCCGATTTGTCTACCGTGTCCAAGTCGTAGCTCCGTTGTTTCTCGATCAAATCCCGATCCCGACTTTACGTCTAGCTATTCGACACCTCCTCAATTTCTGCCCATGGTTGAGAACTCTTCGGCTAGAGTGGTTTCTACCGCTCACGTGTATCTTGAAGAGACAAAAACAGGATTGGGAGGAGGAGTTCGACAACGAGAAGCGTGCTTATCATCTTCTTAAACCGCTCTAAGGCATTGTCGTTCCCTATTTTTACGGCGAGGTCACCTACGACAACCACCCAGCTATACTTTTGTCTGAAATTCATGGTACACGGTTAGACTGTCTTTGTATGTCACCTAACAACGACGAAAATTTCGAAGGAAAACTGGAGGTGGCACTCAGAGAATTGACTAAATACGGAGTCGAGCACGCTGATCCAGTGTTACATAATTTTTTGGCGGTAGAAGAGCGTGTTATGATTATCGACTTTGAGCAAGTCAGATTTGAGAAGACAACAGTCTGGGAGGAAAGTATGAATAAGGCTAATCTGGGAAGTATGATGTGGGATGCTGAATTCTTTCGACGTGGAAATGCGTTTATTCACGAGGAAAGCGCACGTTTTGTAAGGGAGCAGGTACAAAGGCGAACATTTGGGACACAAAGCGAAGGTCACGAGGGTGGGGAGGATTAGTGAAGTCGCAGATAAATATCAGACGTCAGATTCACGTCAAGTTCAACTTTGGAATATCAACGTTGTAAAACTTTGCAACTTGGGCAAAGAGTAGAGTCTTCAAAGGCATGGGATGTTAACCCTTGGGAAGCTTGTGTAATAGCCATTAAACTTAGCCAAACTAACCGAGTTGACCAGAAAGTATCGGCCATAATAAAACCTTCAAAGTCATTCATATTATGCGGTGTTCCAGAGGACCATTTCGATTCGCCAATCCGGAGACTACGTACTGCTAGTGAGTCACTATAAAACCGAGCTTGTGCGTTTCATAATTCCGAAAGAAGATCTTGCACCATAACTTATCTTTCTTTATGGAGAGATATTTGCATTCGAGGACCAAGTTGAGATCAAGAACAGTCTCGAGGTATGCACCACGTTCAGGTCTAGAGTCGTCGGGGCTGCGGTTCACGGGGCGCTCGAAAAGAGCTGTGCCCCAACCATCTGAAACATAGGGAGCCTTGCCCCAGCCGCCTCGAGCAAGTATATAGGGCGGCTATGCCGGATTGGTCCAGCTTGGGCGCATCTGCCGAAGTGCGCCTTACCGCATTGGGCAAGTACCCTTCATTTCATCACTTATACAGTGACCATCGGCCTCCTTCACTGGACGGTCTGGCTTCTATATACATAGCATAAAAGAAGTGCTTTGCTTGATATTTTAAATTATATCAGGTTCCTTGGCTGCCGCTTCTGCTAGCTTTTATGTCGCAAATTCATTCCTGGCAATATACATTTGGGAAGGCGGTGAGGAAATATTTGGAGGGCCGCGAATTATTTCCCGGCAGTATAGATTCGAGAAGGTGGTGAGAAAACATTATAGTGAGGGCAAGCCTTTCACAATATCTGGGCCGGCGAAAGAATATTTTCATTGCAGCTAGGCAAAAGGGAGGGGCAGTTGACATTAGAGAGTTATTCCTAAAAAATCCACATAATGCCATCGCTCACCGGGAGGTGGGGAAGCAGGATCGCGAACGTGGTCGCGAAAGCAGTCGCAAGGTAAAATGCGCTAATGCACGCAGTCACATGATCCATATACAACAGCAACACTTGATGCTCATTTTTAGGGTCAGTGGTGGCTCTCTCTATATAAATTTCTTCGTGTATTCGCTGACCAACTTCGTCTTGAAGTATATTTTACGTCATACCACGTGACTTTGTGCATCAGCGCATTTGCTCCGCGACGCACTGCTTCTCCACATGGCCTCAATTCAACATCGACCTAAAGATATCGCCAGTATTATCCACATTGAGCATTCTATCCTGGTAAGCTTTATTATCTCGCTCTTCATATCACGCATTTAACAAGGTTAACGTTGTGCTGCTCCGCGTTTAGAAAAGCTTACTTCTTAATTTACCTCCGTTTGCAACTTCAATTTACGCACCCCTCACCTTCAACGTACTTGATTGTCAAGATGGACTCATTCTCGTCGCACCTGCGGCCTCATCGGCTGTGCATCATTTGTCGCGGAGAATTGATTGAGCGAAGGGATTTAGTGCTGGCTAGTATGTTTTAGAAGAAGCTGTCTTTACAGAGTGCTAATCTGCCCTCCGTAGTCCTGAGTACATCCCAATCCTACTTTGGCCATACCAAGCCTTTTTATATACCTCCCCTTGGACCCGCAGCTCGCTTCGTTACCCTTCAAGCACACAAATCGGGACCGATCTCGCGGCTTATTTGTAGAACGCCAAACTGTCATGTTTGTTCTCAGTCTGATATCGATTTCTTGCTCTGTCATTATACGTGCTTGTTAGTCTTACAGAAACATGTATACCAGTTGGATTCTATTGATCCTGTCCTGGAGATTGTCTTCCGGACTGGATCGTTTTTCAACCCTTGGCCACTAGCAAGAACTGACTACGACATGTCGGACGGACCTGAAATGCCCCTAGGTCGCTCTCCACCCCCAAAAGACGAAGACTTGCCATGGGTACATATGATCAACCAGCTTAACCGTCTATTACCAGAGCTACAAAAGATGGTTCAAGCTTACTGCGCTGAGAGCGAGTTTTGGAGAGTTTGGAAAGCAATGGCATGGCCCAAGGATATTCACACTATCAAACAGGAGACTCGATCTGTTGGCGAGCTAGGAGTTTGGAAACGCGGTTTAACTTTTGGTCCCAAGTCCACCGAGAAGTTTTTGCTTATTAGTGTCGATGGTATGGGTATTAAGGAGGTCGAATATACCGATACTCGACCAACTGATAGACGCAAAAGTGCAAACGTATGGTATACTTTCTTAGAGACCACGACTGTCCAGCATATCCAAGCAACTCTGAAGGTATGTTTATTACTTTCCACTTTCATCGGGAGCATCTTTTCATTCAATGCCTTTAGGACGGTCGCATACGTCTTAGTCTGAAGCCCCCAGATCTTGTTCTATGGGACACACCCGTGATACCAGACTTGAGACACTGTCACCTTTTCGGAGCATCTGCGAGATTCAACCGACTTCGAGTAATACAGCTAGAAAACCTTGTTGGCCTGACATTCTTTGTTGGGGGTGGACTGCTTTATGCCATCCACTCCCACTACGATCCCGAAAATTCTGCGTTAGAGACATTCCTTCGGATTCCTGACTGGCGACGCAAGCGCCTGGTCTGGTTATTTCTTCCCGTTGCTGAAGGGATTGAGTATTTGTGGCTACGAACTCGAAAAGGAGCTAACGGGCAGATGGCGGAGCCAAGCCTTCTGGTATCATCTCTATATCTTTCCTTGGTTTTCTACAAGCTAACTTATATCAGTTCCAGAATTTGCAAGGGAAAATACTTACTACTGGTCTTTACCACGAAGATTCCGCCGCTTACACTTGCCGAAACTTAAGTTCTCGTCCTACTAAATTGGTCTATGATCAGCCATACCCTGGTGAACCAATTTTGACATTTGGAGCAATGCCATCGGCGGTAGCCAGACACGATGTCTTCGTTCCTAAGTACAACCTAGGAGATAAAATGGAGATATACACATCTGACGCGCCGCTTCAGAGCGTTTGCAAGGTCCAACTTTACCTCGAGTCTGATGAAACTTGTAGGGGGATTCTTCTACATTATCATGATGGAAAGCAACGGGTTCTTGGCCAATCTCGGGGCGACCTCATCTGTCAAAAGTTTAGTAACCCGGTGGGACTTCACTTCCAAAACTGTCGCAACTATGTACGTGTTTTTATTTCACTACAACGAGGCGATATGGATAAGGCTGGAACAGGGAACTATGATACTATTGACTTTGCTAGTGAAAAGGTACAACATGTTTTGTGGCTTTTCAACTCTGAGTACGATGAGATCGTTAGAGTAGAAAATCATTAGAAGACAGTTTCTTGAAATTGACGCAACATGTTCTCAAGCATACTTCGCAATCAAGGTGAATATGAAAATACTGACATCCGTGAGACGGCCGTGAGTTGAGGGCATAGAAAAGAAATCCCAAGATTATAAAGAGAGTACGTATCGCCGTACGAATCAGAAGAAATGGCTCTTGCACCACGATTCAATACGTACCGCTGCCTATGTTCTAGGCAATTCCCAGGTGTAGTATTGCTTTCCACTTTTCTTCCCTGTATAAATCGAGCCAGGCTGCCCATCAATGGTTCCTCTTTTCCAATCACTCGCCTCGGTTTGGACAGGTCCTCGGGGAGTATTGAAGCGATAATATGTATACTCTCTAAGACGGTCCTTCTTCTTCTCTTTCACCACATATTTATAAGGCTCAACATACTCAGGTCCAGTTGCTGGTGGTGACTCAGAATCTGGTTCACCACGGATATCTTCCATCGTCATGTCATCTTCACGGGACAAATGAGCTGGTCCAGCTGAGGAACTACTAGCCTCTGGTACCGGCGTAGTACGCGAGCCAGCAGCGACCGCATCGCTAGCAATGGTTGAGGAATACTAGTTCATAATGTGAGAATCTGTTTCAAGAACTAGGTCGAGGAAGGATACGCACAAATGAGCCAGCAATAGTGGCAGATTGGTCAGTGACTATACCGCGAGCAGTGGCAGATGAACCAGGAGTCATACTGTAAGTGTAGGGCTTAGTAGCATCTTGACCAGTCGTCGGGAGCGCTAAGCCGGAAGATTGGCCAGAAGAGGCCACACCACGAGTAGTGGTAGATGAACCAGAAGTCATACTGTAAGTGTAGGGCTCAGTTGAATCTTGACCAGTCGTCGTGAGGGCTGAGCCAGAAGATTGGCCTGAAGTGGCCACATCGCGAGTAGCGGTAGGTGAAGCCATATCGTAAGTGTAGGGCCTATTCGTACCGTAACCAGTCGATGCGCCTGACTGCTCTCGCTGAGAAGAAGTTTCATAACCCTGCCATTCCACTGGAAGCACAACATTTGAGGGCCTCGGAGACTGAGATCCAGTCGTTTGGACATTGTTGTTGATCATTTGTTGGAAGGCCCTTGTGATGTCGTCGAAGTTTCTGGCACTGTCATCGATGTAGTCCGTGATTCCAGGCCCCCAGGGGGTAAGATAGGGATCATCGGCTTTGAACAACCAGAATTTAATCGTGGTTCCGATCGTCGTGAAGCCAAATATTCTAGCACGCCTAAACCACTCGCACGAGTCTCGACACCCAATAAAACATTGAGTCTCGCAAATTTGGATCTCACCCGGGCTTGCATCTGTCTTCTTTGCCTCATGCACCCCGTGGCGGATCCACTCTCGATCTTGGAAATGCTCAAGACTTCCATCCATCCTTCTCGGATCAGTCCCATAGGTAGGTGGTTGCTCTGGCGCATAGTTCCAAGTTGAGTGGTCGATAAGGTGGCTGATCCGGAAACTCCAGTACCTGGTTGAGGAGTTTTCGATGATTCTACTCTGGGCATCTTCATAGAGATGGCGAATTGCCCTGGATCTTTGGGGTAGGCGTGACATTTTAGTATAGGTTATTAAAGTAACGCGGTGACTGAAGACATACCAAGGAACCTTCGGGAGAAGTTATAAAAGTGGCTACATACAGTGTATTTATCTACCATTTCTTGCAGACGACTTGTCAACCATGTCGTTCTGCAGGCCCTCTCCACCGTGTAAATGTAGAATGATAGTCGCAATTCGTTCCTTTCCAACTACCCTGGCTGACTTTGTTTCCTCTGGAAAGAAGAAAATTCATTGGGGGGAGGGGGGGAATGGCATCTGAATGCATGGGAGACAGAAGTGAGTGGCCCAAGAATAAATGAGACGAAACCTCATTTTGCCCATCTCGCTATGTGATTTCATTATCTTATCTGGCGGGGTGGCTGTTGTCGCATACAAGGATTTCTATTGCACTTTTTCACTGGTAGGGCTTGCAAGCCGAAGAATCACAGATATGCAGTCTCCCAATGTATCTGATCAAAAATTAGTGGGGTGAGGTGAGGTGAGGTGAGGTGAGGTAAGGTGAGGTGAAGTGGGGTAGGGTGAGGTAGTGTGTAGTGTGGGCTGGGCTGGGTGCCGTTTTGGATACTCCACATTCTGTACTATATAGCCGCGAGGACTACTTAACCGATCCGGCGGCTCTTACGCCACACCCAGGCCTTGTTGGAGGTGCGCTATACAAGCCACACTTATGCGCAGAGAATTTAGCCTCACACCATTTCCGTATGTTGATGACAACGGACTCAAGGCCCATCACTTACCTTCATTTGCAAGCGTCGACCTAGCAAGAACGACAGTCGCAAGTCAGTGAAAAACGGATCGTAGAACGTAGGACGATAGCATTAGGCGCGAAGGTCAGCAGTTTGGTTTTCCGCATCGGGCGCACGCAATACCCACTTGCATCAACAGGCAAGACTACTATGACATGAAATTTGGGTCTTGCATAGGACCAAACGCTACGCGCTATAACCAGTAGGCAAAGAATGTTCCCAAGGTTTATTGTGTGCAGGGGCTTACCCCAAGTCGCTTTGGAATGTATCGAGGCTGATTTTTATCTTAGGCTCGACCTCCAAACCACCCGCTTCCATCGAGAACCGAGAAATTTGCGAGGTTATACAGAGATGAAGAAGGATGTTACCGATATCACAGATAATATCGAGCTTGAGAACGAGGCTGCCGTACTTGTAGGAGATCTATACCACCGACACTCAATACGCGTTGACATTTATAGCTTGACACGCAAAGGACGATATTCCTCGAGGCCAGAACAGACAGGATAGGGGAGGGCACATATGAATTTGCATCGTCCACAGTCTGTGCGGTACTAGTCACGGAAAGGAGTGGAGATGGTGCCGTCAGAGTTACAGGTGGCAGTGAAAAAGACGACGGCGTTGAAACGAGTCCGACAAAGCCGCACAAAAAATGCATTATTATTGTAAAGAAGGGGCAAACATGTGTAATACTAGGAAGACCTGTATTCCGCTACTTTCATTACAAGGAGGCATGAGCCAATCCCTGATCTTCTGCAACGCTAGCTTTAACATTTTTTAGAATTTCGTGGCATAACCTGTGAGAAAATTCCATCTTTATATCTCTTTCTTCTGACGACTTGAATATTATTGCCGTAGATGGTAATGGCAATCCACCAAATGGGCACACCATTTCCACCGATTTACAACCTCCGTCATATGATAGCAAGAAGTTAAACAGATCCTTGGTTTCCATTTCCACCTTAAAGCCCTTCCCCCTAGCAGTCAGAGTAGCAGTGTCTGCATCCAGGTCAGCAAGGCTACTATACGAGGTGCACTTTACAAACCCGGGGCATTGTGTGGAATTGTAGCAGGGTTCGTGATGTGCTCAGTGTGGTCTCGATCTGGTGGCCGCTGGTCCGACTGAATTTCTTGGATATTGGAGACATCTCCGAAGGCTGATATACCTGGCTCTGCTTTGCGTGGATCTATCAATCCTGTAGCGGTTGTACCGTTCGGGCGCGGAGTGATTTCCGGGTCAACATCTGAGGAAGTCGCAAGTGAGTATAGATCATCGACAAGTTAATCAGCAGTTATTCTCATATTGTAAGGTACCACGTACTAAATGGTAGAGATTTGTCTGCTGGAAAGGGCTCTGAGTATCGCGCACGCTTAGGGGATCGACCTGCTAAGATCAGCTCCAAATTGTATTCATGGAAACGGTTTATATACCTGGATCAAATCCATGCAACCTCGACAATTTATCACTGAGAACTTTCCCTAGGCATAGAGGATGTTCCACCTTTTCCCACCATTTAATGATATCCAATACGTCATCCTCTGTGCGTACACCGCCGAGGGCTGTCCATGTGATAGCTAACGCGCATAGCGTGAAGAGTTCTTTGCTACAGTTGTAAATTCTCTGTATATAACGACATGCTCTCTTCTTAACAGCATAATGGCGTATTGAATTAGACTCAGTGTCGCGCAGCTGAATCCAAGTTTCGAATTTATTTGCTTCAGGTTCATAGTAGACCCCAAAAGCTCGACTCCTTTCCTTCTCAAGAACAGCAATAACCTGTGAAACTTGTGGTGAGGACGGCATCATGTTGCTATGAGACTAAGGGGACAAAGGTGTGGGGAGAAAAGAGAGATGAGATGAGATAGCTGATTCGTATAACCATGTTTTATTGTAAGAGACGGTCAGTGATAGGTTCTGCCAATGACGGCGTCTCGGATCATGTAGAAGTAGAGAAAGGCCGAGCCGAGTGCGGGGTTGATTGATTGATTTATTCATACTCGGTTCCAGCCGCCCACCGTAGGGCGGCTATGCCGGAGTAGTCCAGCTTCGGCGCAGCTACCGAAGTACGCTTACCGCATTTGGCAAGCGTACTTCACTTCATCACTATACAGTGACCAGCAGCCTCCTCCACTAGACGGTCTGGCTTCTATCTACGACTGTATACATAGGCGAAAAAGAAGTGCTTTGCTTGTCTTCAATGTATCTCTCGTTGGTAGCCGCTTCTGCTATCCATCTTGTGTCCATATACCTTCAGTCTCCCCTGCCACCGCTAAATATTCATTCAACTTCCTCCCTTTCATAAATCTTCAAATTCGTGGCTCCTCCCAAACCATTCATCATGGTGTTCTCGGGGTACGGACCAAATATTCGCAAATCTAGGTGGTTAAGCGCATGCCAGCTCATACCTTAACCTGTTCTGTGTGTAGTGATTCTGCTCTGATGCTGACAGTTGTAACGGAACGGTGAAGGATACTGCTATTCCACTACTTGGAATCTAAAGCTAAGGAGAGAAGAGCTATCTAAGGGGAAAACCCAAGGTTCTTATGCCAGTAGCACCACACACCCAACACATCCTTATCCCCCACATCCCTTATCACGCCATGATGAGGGATTTGATGTGTTGTCGTGTTCGCTTGAAGATTTTTCTAAGGGTGTGGTGTGTTGGCATGTTTGCTTGAAGAGTCTTCCTCTATTGTTTGCTTGAAGCGTGGGACATGCATGCTCGCTTAGGCAGCCACCTGTCCCGCGGTCACGGTGAAGAATAACCGAATCGTGACATTCGAACCGTGACAACAGTTCTATCGGGGACCGTAGTCGATTCGTGTGGGCAAGGCACTCGTAGTCTGCAGTTGGTACTAAGAGAGGCGTGAGGGGCGTATCATAGCTTTGGTTCTGTGTGTAGTGAGAGACGCTGTGTACGAGATCGAGATTGTAGCGTTTGGTCATGAATAGCTATGAGAATGAACAAAAACATTTTACTGTTAGAATTAGTTGATTTAGTCTTTGGTCAATTTGGTCAATTTGGTTTCAGTCTTGGTTAATATAGACCTGGACACACCAGCTACAATGCCGCTTCAAGCTTGCTTCTATAACCACAACAAGTCCAGTCCACATCCCACTGTTGCTATTTACTGCTACTCCCTCGAGAATTGCTCTCGGGTGATTAACTCTCCATTCAGAAGTTGACCGATATGTGAGAACGAAATACTCTGCCCCTTCCTCCTCAATAACATCATTGTTCTAACAAAAGCCAACGGACTAGTAGTGAAGGGACAGGACGCAGCTCGCCAAGCCTGACCCATGAAGCCATCGCTTGCAACCTCAACGCCGTTTTCTGGACGGCGAGAGCAGAGCCCTAAAAAGCTGCAAAGTAACAAGTAATCTTCGTAAGTTCGGATATACAACTGACCGGCAAAGAGGTTAAGGTGGATGCTGATAGCAGGAGCTGACCACGATTCTGGGACGGCCGGAATAGCATACAAGGAGAGGTCTTCAAGGGTTGGCATCGACAGAGAAAGACGCGGGGAGTATATGTGTAGTGTTACTTGCTTATGCTGTCGGATCAACGGCAAGAGCTCTTGAGCTTCATATGGACTCACTACCACATAGTTGACAACGCTCCCTCTTTTGCAGCGTATGATCCAATGCACCGGCCTTAAGAAGGAGTCCAGGTCTTGACCATCTGTCGCTCGAACTGTGTTCGCAAAGTCGGCCGTGACAAGCAAGTCACGAGGCCATGCTGTTGATTCATAGTAGGCATTGGCAGTAGTATTATGAAGCGTCGAAAAAGCGGGTAGGAAAGCGGCGGACCACGGACTTAGAGAACCATGTGTCGCCAATTGTCGAACGTCGCCATGAACACTGTGGACGCAGGGTCGCAATGGTGGTGGAAGCTCGGTCTGCTGTTCACGCTCATTCTCAGGAGAGAGCTCACGCTCTTGTTCTTCCTCGCACGTTGCCATGCCTAAAGCTGCAACTTCAAATTCCCGGCACTTGAGTTGGATCTCGTTCACCTGCTTCTCGCGGCCCAGGAGCGTCTCCTCGGTAACATTACCGAAGAGCGTGTCCTTAAAACACACGTCGTCATGTCCATATCTTTGTTGCAGGCTTTGCGCCTCAGGCTCAAGAAGTCTCTGCGCATGCTCTGTAGCTATTGATGATGAGCACACCGTACGACGAAGCTGATGTCGCATGCCCTGCATCGCCCACAGTGGGATAGTCCTGCTCGTGTAGGCACATGTCTCCGCCATGTTCCATTGCAATATATCAATCACCTCAATGGGTCCCTCGGTCCTGCCGCTACACTCCCGGATCTTGCGTTGAACTTCCATCGAGCTACAAAATACAACGGACTGGCCCTTGCCAAGCTTTCGCATCCGCATACACGCTGTCAATCGTTAGCAGGAACCAATATCTAGATAAGGGGGAATACCTTGGACAAGTTGATCCTTGGTTAGGCCAGGACCCAAAGTTAAGATTGCTTGATAATCTGTCGGCAATTTCAGGTCCACCCCTCTCGTGTGGGACTGGTCAAGGTAGACCAAACACTGATCCATCTGCTGGGCAAAAGGTGAGATCGACAAAGGCTCCTTTCTCCCATCGCGGCTTAGAACGCAGATCTCGTTGCATCTGTCAAAGAAAATAGCCGCCTGCGCCTTGGATTCTGGGACACGTGAGAGCCATGCGCGCGCTACCTCCTCGTTCTGCAGTTCCAGAACTTGAGCCCCGACGTCGAGGATAACGCGGATTTGAGGTCTCGACGAGATCATCTCTAGGAGAACTTGGGCGTCAAGCATTCCTGTTGCCGAAGTCGGTCCGATATCTATAGAGTAATTCTCAGGTCGCAACAAGCAACCGAGCACGGCAGCATTGGTTGAGAGTTGCGCTGGCAAATCGCGCTGGTTGATGGACAGTGGCAACACGTACCTACTATCGTTGGTCCCACTAAAGCCCGTGGTCGGGTGAGATTTCTCTCGCGCGATATCCCAACCCGATGATGAGAGTTTGCTGGGGAACTCTTTCATTTCGGTCGGAAATACAATAGCCGACAGGTAAAAATTAATAACGCCCCTCGCAAATCGCAATGGCGGAAACACCTCTTGCGAGCACTGTCTCGCATTGCTGAGGTTGATACTAGTAATGTGCCTAAACGGGCGAGGCAATCCTGGAGCATCCTCTACCCAGCGTTCATATTCTTCTTGGGCGTGGTCGGACTGGAGAAGCACTTCCAAGCTGGAACGAATTTGTTGATCTGAGAGGCCACCGTAGTAATATGACAGGCAGGTCAGAACAATTGTAACATCAGGATGACTGAATTCCGCGCGAGCCGCTGGGCTGTCTTTTGCATGGTACGGAACCGCGAGCAGCGTTCGTGATGGATCGAGGCCGAAGTTGACACGCCACCGCTTTTGCGTCAAGGCAAATCTGAGGATCCCGCACGCAAAAAGCCCTTTGAGGAGAAGCAGGCTACTTTTGATGGATTCAGACAAGAAACCAGAGTCTTGTAATTCCTGCAACGACTTTGCGCTCTCTCTTGGATTTGTAAGATACGCGAATAAGGCCAGTTTGAGTCGCTCGGAAAGCCTCCAGACAGGCACGCCAGGTAGGCCATCTTCGCAGAGCTGCCATGCGACATTCTCCAATATTACCTCACCGGCCTGGGTCTGAAGTATTCGGATTCGAGGAAATCCTCCAGGTGGCGCAGGCATGACTTCTAAACCAGAGGGATATTTCTCCAAGACATGGTCCGCAGCATGGCCTAAAACCCCTAAAACATGTTGGGCTATGTTCCAGCGCTCGGGACTGAAATCGATAGCACGCTGCAGGCCCATGGTATATATCAGCTCATATCGTACACTCAGGATCTCATCACTCTCGTCGAGTATATCCCGTGAGTGGGCGTGCAGCCAATTCTGAGTCTCAATCAGGACGTTGCCTAGCTCCGAGTCACCAGAGAGGAGCCTCTCGAACCCCATCAGCTCGAATGAGAGGATATGTTCCGGTTGAAGAAGGAGTATCGACCCGCTCTGTTTGCACTCTTCGTATATTTGACGGGTCTGGCGCCCCTGACTCACACTAAGGTCAAGTGAACGTGAAATTGGCATGTAGACAATGCGTCGGTTCAGCATGCCCCCAAGCAATTTCGCTAGCAACTGGAACATCTGCATGGCCAACGGCTTGAGAACCACAATCCTGACAAGTTGTGTTCCGTCTGCGAGATCTACCGCGCTAATGGGAATGATAACAGATGACTTGCCCAACCCCATATTGAATTGTAGGACGGAGTTTGAGCCGGAAGATGGATTTATTGTCTCATTGGCAATGGAAACCTGTTGCGGGCGGATTAAGATATTGTTCTCGATTTCGAAAAGAAGCCATTGAGGACGGTCGAAGGGGTCCCAGTTTTGGTGGCCCGAATTCTCGAGTTCACCTACGAGTTCAAGCTTATTGCTGGCGGCTGCGAGGAGCCGCTCTGCACGTTGAACATTCGTTATGGCCAGTCCATACTGCACCCAGGACGCTTTCCAGCCATCAGAGAGGGTGGTGACCTTATCGCTGGCTAAGCGCGAGAGAATCGAGATCGGGGATAAGCGAGGGAGCAGTCGTGACCCCCGAACGAGATGATGAGAGCCAGAGCACAACCGCTGACGGATCCTTTCATAGATGGCCCTCTTGTGACGCTGAGCTTGCTCCAGGTGAGTTTCTAGCAGCGGAGTCAGGTTCGGCACGTCCTTCAGTTCCACCAAGTCATCGTCACGCATTGCTTCAAAGCTCGTGGCCAGACCATCCGCATATCGCTGCTCATGTGTGCTACAACACTGAGATGCTACTTTTCCCACCAACTCTTTGAGCTTAGCCTGATCGGCGCCGCCTCTTTTGCCCCGGATAACCCACCCATCAAAGCGCCGCCCTTGGTCGGGACCGGGGAGAGGAGGAGCGCAGGTGCTTGTCAAGTCGGCAAAGCTGACATAAGTACGCCGAGGAATATAGCTGTCAACAGGTGGCACAAAGGAGTAGAGTTGACAATCTTGTTGTTCCGGAGGCAGCCTATCCAGGATATTCTGGACCTGCTGAATGTACCTTTGAAACCGTACGTTCCGGTGCCAGCTATCAAAGACGGGACGCGCATTTTCCATGGCCTGCTGGACTTTGATGTACGTGCTGAGATGAGGACCGGTAGGAGTAGACATATCGGTTGCAGGCCACTGGGAAATAAGATCCTGTGCAAAAATCGTTGCCTGCTCATCCACCGAGGCTTTGTATAATCGCTTCCGACGCGCCTTGGCAACTTTGTTCGTCTCGTGAGCAAGTGTTGGAAGATCGCACTGAGAACATGAGGAAAACTCTTGCGCCTGGCTTACTGCTAGACAGGCTAGTCTGTTCTGTACCGGTCTGTACCCGTCGGCAAGCTGAAAGATATGAGAGCGGGGAGCCTGAAGCATTCGCAATTCTGGGGAGGTTGCAAAAGCGAGGAGGGTTAGGATAAGCTCCCGCTCAGCGTAGAGAGAATAAGAGAAAGTGGATAAGAGCATCATGACCTTATACTTGTCTGTCCCAACCACGCTCTGGGATAGCAGATCTTGGAGGGTACACCAATACCGTGAAAGAAACTCCACAGGCCTTTCCAACCATTTAGGGTCAAACCCTAACGTCAGTTCAACGTGGCCAGGACCGTAGATTGGCTGTGCCCATGATTCAATCTCCAAGAGCAACTGTGGGCATATGGTAAGGTTGGTTGACCAATTGTTCACGAGCTGTGCCGTCTGGCAGGTTCGAAGCTCTCGGTCGGCATCAATGGACCGGTCTCGGGAATGGTAAGTGACGTCCTGGGTGACAGTGAAAGCAGCTGCACCGAACCCTTCTACCTGGAACGAAGAATCACGGATGGCAGCTCTTTCTAGAAGACACAGTACGCCACACGTATTCAAACGAGGGATCGCTACCGGCTGCTCTTGAAAGGTCTGGGATGACCTGGCCTGATCTAATATCGACACTACTTGCTTGTAAAATTCGCAGTGCTGTGAAAGAGGCGACAGCGACGTCCAATCCACCTGCTGCATCACTTGTAGATGCTTTGGATTAAATTGACGTCGCGGGGTCAGGCGGGCAATCTTCTCTAAAAGCTCAATGTCCTCCGGTTTGAGCTGGATGAAAGATCGAGTTGTTTTGCTTGCAAGGTCATGCAATGCCTCTTCTGTGCCCGTCCGCCCAGTGAGCTGGTCGACAAGGCAGTGCGACGTTGTCGCGTGGAGATAAATCTTGAAGAGTCGGCTATGGAGACTTCCATTGTCTCTAAGACGTCCGAGTTGGCTATCGATCTCGTAGATATGGTACTTGACATGGAGGCTTGAAGTCGTATCAATCGTAACCCGGACATGATGGCCCTGGGGCGAGAAAGACACGGTACCATGGGGGACAAGGACCGACCGAGATGACTGGTCAATCTGGCGTAAAACAAGCTTATTTTCCAGCCCGGTAAATGCTCCAAAGGATTGCCGCTCGTCCACGACCATCCCCCGAAACTGCTTCGACTCGAGCAAGCTCTGAGCGTGGTTGAGAATAAAATCAAGCTTCATCCGCGGTAAGTGGATCTCTAATGCTCCTGTCTCGCAGTTCAGAGATATGTGAATATGAGGTGCATGCTCAAGCGGGCTGAGGATTTGCGTAATAGCCCTGGCCGTCGGACTGCGAACATCGATGGCCTTGCGGCCTCCACTGCGTAACACCAACCTCTGATGGCCATCGGTCTGCATCTGCCAATTTTCAGGTGAAGAGGTCCACACGTCTTTCAACGGGCGCCATTCAAGCCGCCCTGTGCTGATGTCCAGCCAGTGGGCGTAGTCCCTCACAAATGCTAATGGAAAATCATCACGCATTGCGTGATCAGGTACTAGCTCACAGATTTGTTGCTGACTTTGGGTTCGAATAATAAGTTCAGTGCCATGCATTCGAAAATGGACCTAACAAACCGTTAGCCTATAGATCGCCCTTAGTCTGTGAAAACTACCTGTTGGCCCTCTATCTCATTCCTGGTCTCGAAAATCATGCCCCTCATTGTTGATAGGACCACCTCTAGGGTTTGCTAGATAATCAAGTTAGCTCAAACACTCATCTATGCAAGGGATCTCTCACCTCGCCAAAGACTCGACAATAAGTTGGGTGTAGCTCATAAGACCGTGGAAGCCTTGTAAGCGGCTTGCCATCCACTAGGAGGCTCCCGTCCAAAATATTATAGTGGACAGTCCTCGAGCAGACGCCTCCTTCCGCAGATGTCTGGGTTACAAGCCATCTCTCATTTGGCACATTCAAGGAAGTCCAAGGGCTGCCTGGACGGTATCCCACCCAGACCCGTTGTACGGTGCGATCGATGCCTTCCCGATCTTGCAGGATCCGTTGGCGCAACTCGGTCTCGAGGCAGTATGATATCTTCTCAAATCGCCGTAGAATGATCTTGGAAAATTGGGACAGGCTCTCCACAGTAGCCGGGCAGCGATCACGAATAGTGATAAAGCATTCAATAATGACTGCAATGTCTTCGTCTGACTGTAACAACGTAGCGAGATGCTCCCGCTCGACGTCGAACGTGCTCTGGCCTATCAACGCCACTTCAAGCGCCCGCAAATGCAATGCCGTTGATGCTTCTGCATCCTGACTCCCACGAAGTAGGGTGCTGATATCCCGGGCCCAGCGCAGAGTGACCTCACGAACTCGCCTCAAAATCTGGTAGCAACCATTCTGGACGATGCTGTGTGGTGACACGGAGAGTAGTCGAGTCGCAAGAGTGAGACAGGTGTGTACCGCAATCGAGCCTTGCCAATTCCCCTCCACGGTCCCAAGGGCATTTCCTAGCGTAGACAGCAAAGAAATCCCAAAGTCTTCTTCCTCTAGGTCAACGTGAGACTCGTACGGCCTTACATCCGAGCAACCCACCTGCCAGGCCACCTGAGCCACGAGCATGTACGTCTCTTCATGGCTGAAGTTAAGAGTGCGAATGGTTAATTCGCGCGCCAAGTTGCGCCACTGAAGCCGATGGCCCGATCGCATGGTTCCAAACGCATAGAACTGGTGCTGATCAAGGGCCCTCGGGCACTCAGCTTGCCTGGCAAGAACAGCATTGGGGGTATGACAGGTCGTATCCAAACACCACTGCAAGGTCTTATAAGGCCCAGGCGGAAGCTGGAAAGTGCAGACGTTCCGCACATCACACTGATCCAGGAGCTTCGAGGTCCACTGACTTAAGGTTGAGTCGTATACGGAATAGCGCAAGCCGTTCTTGACGCATAAATTCTTCTCGGTGGCTTGAGGGAGCTTCTTGGAGCGGTAGTGGGCCACTACAAATGGCTTTGCCTCAGATGCCAGTTGCAGCCTACCCACTGGACGTTGGATGTAGCTATAGAGGCCATTAAAATCCCGAAGCAAGTATATCTTGGCGGTGCATTCCAGATTGCGAGGTGGAGAGAAGATGTCTACAAGAAGAGTGTATGTGATATCCCGCCAGCTGGTAATAACTCCCGGTACGTCAAGTTCAAACACAGTCGACTTGGCCTCCAGATCAATATATGGAAGTGGCCACTCGTGAACAGTGATACTAAGATCATCTGCGTCATTGTTCAATCGACACTTTGTGCAAGAAGAAGGGCTGTGGTAAGAAATGCTTTCATAGCCGTTCCACCGGGTTCCTTCGTCATGGGCTGCGATTGAGTTGGCTTCTTGGATCAAGCGACGATGCTGTTCCTTCTTCTCTGCTAACTCTTCCAACTTCCGATCCCGTGCAAGTGTCGCTGCCGCTTCAATTTCGCGGCGGAGCTGTTGATGGTGCAATGATTGTTCATAGTACTGAACTGCGAAGCTCGGTGCCTTGTCATTGTCTTGGAAGATGAGAGATGACGAATGTGTGGATCTGTCCCTCCTCCCCTGGATGTAGTTTTCCACGCGGGCCAAGCGCTCCATCTGAATCCTCTTGGGCAGCAGCAGCGGATCAAACAGCAAAGGGGGAAATCCCGGCTGATAGTTTTTCAATAACGGTTCTTGATGAGTGGCGCACTTGTCAAGAGCCACCCATAGATCCATAGTTGTGAGCAGCATCAGGGAAATGTCTTCCGGGTTGTTCGCATACGCAGAAGTTGCGACTTTGGTGTAGTCTTGGATCAGCTCTGCAAGGACTCCACAGGCCATTGGAGAGTCTAGACTAGAAGCTAGCCATGTATCGAGGCACTCTTGTACCCAAAGCTCCAAGTCCATTAATGACAGACGAGTAGCGTAGCTGGATTCGAGCGCACAAAGCTTGGCTTGCGGAAATGTTGAACTGTGCGAGTCGATACGAGGCGCGCATTCTGGATTGTAGTCCTTGGCATTTGAAGGCACAGCTGTACAGGCTGAAATTTGGTCGACATATGGCCGGAGATTGGAAAGACTGAGCTCTGTGTCGCTGTCGAAGGACAATTTAGAAGTGCTCCATGATTGCTGTGACCCGAGGGGATCTGGGTCCTGTTCTACTTTATCCCATCTCTTCGCAAGTTCTCGATCAGTGGCTTCAACAGTTCCATGCACATACTGCATCCAAGGCACCTCATCTCTGAGACCAAGTTTCAGTACCCGCCGACTGATCTTAGCGTGCATAACAAACAAGATGTCGCTTTGGGAGGGACATTGCAATGCGCGCTCCAGGATACGTGCCATGAAGAAAATCATAAATGACTTGTACCCTCTACGCTCATCTTGGTCGGCCACATGGCTGGTCTGCAGAGCAACGCGAAGGAGAAGCCAGACAGAGGATCGTCGCCAGGGTTTGAATGCGTTATCCCACAAAACATCATCACGTGTACGTTTGTAAATGCGAACCACGTCGAGGGGTTGTCCAATGCCACGCAGGATACCAGTAAGCATCTCCGTCACAAATTTAGGATGAATCGTGTCTCGAACCTCGATAGCCTTGGACTGTGCTTTAACCACCACTGGCCATGCCTCATCTGGTGTATTGGCATCCAGTTGCGTGAGAAAAGTTGCAAGAGCCTCACGGAAAGAGGGGTCGGCCATCTTATCCAAGCCCACAGCGATAGCTGGGCCAGGGAAACACCGTTGGAGTCGCCCTGTTGTCGTCATAACGGACTTCGTGGTTGGGGAGAGTTCGAAAGACTCAAATGAGAACTGTTCTGGTGATCGGCGGACGATCAGTCCCGCGTTCTGGCTGCGGACATCAAAGGCGAGGGTGTCTGTTGAGCAAGTCAGCTACAGGTACACAAGTTCCAATTGAAGTGAACTTACCTCTCTCTCTCATCTCAGCAAGAGATGTTTCCAATCTCTCCAGGATCATATCTCCCCGCGGACATCTGATTTCAAGTATTTTACGGAGCATCTTGGCACAGCCTGCCCATCTCCAACGCTCTTCGGCGGGGAGATAAGTTTGGAATGATGTCAAGGCTGCCTCGCATTCCTGTACCAGTGCCGAATCTTGCTCGAAATCATTATCGTCCTTCTGGGGTAATTTTGGCGGGAGGAATACGTGATTGATGATGTACGGCAAACTCTGAGGTGAGGCCATATTGCTGAGTTGCCTCCCGCGGATCAGTAGGCTGAACAGGAGGTGCGATTTGATGAGGATTTCAGCAGTCTTGATGTCCCTAGGTCTTGGAGGGAAGAAGCTCGGCGCTGTTGGTTTGGGACAGACAGAGCAGAGACATGGGATACTTATCGGACCTGAAGCGGCGTTTGTATCTACATCATCTTACGACGGAGATATCCTCAACAATACGGGAGCGGGGCGGGACATGTTGTTTGCACCGTTAGGAAAACCTCCTGTTTCTTGAGTCTAGACGGGTAATCCTACTTGAAAGGTCTCTCAAGATGCAGGCTGCCACTGCAACCATCCGAACATCAAACATTTCCCCGTTACCCGATCGGGCCATCGCTGGCTTCTTGGAATTAACGAAAACTTGGGAGCAGTCCCTGTTGGAGTTGGCTGAGAAGATGAAGGATGATTTACTGTCCAAAGTCAGTTGAGATAAAGCAATGATAGATACGATCTGCGCGCTAACCTTGTCCGCTTCAAAGTGCTCCTTGAGATAATTTTTCGAAGGAAATACTCGTGAGCGATAAGGGCATTCCCTTTGAGGCTGGTAATCAGTCATGTCGATGTCCATTGAAGTTGATGTCACGCGTGTAATCCGATTCACGGCTGGCTGCAAAACAGTCCATGGCGCAAGATTGTCCAATCATGCTTGTTCTGTTATCGCCTTTGAAAATCGTGCGGGGAGTAATAATTTGCCACTGGTATGCCGACATGTTTCTCCAAATCATAGGCCAGTACACTGAAAAATTGCACGATCGTTTGTCTCCAGCTTCAACAAACGCCTGGCCGAAGAGCATCCTTATCTATTGGCTCTCGGCCCGGATTAATGAATTTCCTGTCACATGACCCCGTAATATCAATATGGTATTAATACATCGAATATACTCGATATATTACGGTAGATTATTTATTACTCGATATTGACAAATATAGTAGACCACTTGATACCGGTATCGATATACCGATGCCCAAGTCTGCCGGGTTAGCAACTTCTTTCGGAGCGGACTAACTACAACCCGGGCTTTTCCAATGCTGTTGTTGGCATAGCAACATTAGCTGCACGGTCAAGAATGTTGTCTCGTACAACATCAAGGCTGATGTTGAATAAACCATAATTACGTCTCACATCACAGCATTAGCATTGAAAGCACAACTCGTTCTCGTTCCCTATAAGCTAACAAATCGCAAAATGCAGGACAGCAAATCCAATCGCTTTCTCCTCACATCCTGGTTGTCGACCGCGGATGATTGGCTTAGCCCTACTGAGTTGCAGCAAGAGTTGCAGCAGCAAGATCAATCGCCCTTCCTTCTATCACAATCCACACTTGTCTCTCCACCTTCTCAGTATTCTTTCACAGTCCGAAATCCAACAAAGGGACGGAGCAGAAAGCGCCTTGTATCGGAGATGAACCAGGAAACGGCCTCAAACGCGAGCGGAGAATCCACGAGGACGACAACTACGTCGACACCTTCATTTCACAATCGGCCAATTCTAAACCCAACGCCACCATCTTCTCGCCAACGCTCTCCTAGTCCGACGCGCAAAGTGCTCAGTCAATTGAGACTGGCAAGACCGTCCTTGAGAGTCTGCCAGCCGGATATCAGAGTGGTGCAGCCGCCTCGGGTGCAGCAGCTGAGGTCTATGCTGGTGAAGAAGTTGTCGAGTGGAGTTATTCCTCGTAATTTTGAGGTTTGTACATTTTCTACCCAACCCGCCCTATTACTTTCCGCAACTAACAGAGTGAAGACTCGCCTTCGAAACGTTGATCCCGATCTATTCGAAGAACCAAGCTCCCTATTCGAAACTGCTCCCACTATGCATTCGACCTTGTACCTCGACAATCTCTGGAAGTTGACGGACAAGATATACAATGAAGCGCGCCGCTGTTACGACAACCATCTCGATGAGAGCGCGTGGATGAAGGTCGTGAACAACGTTCTCGAGGCCGCAGATCTCGACCAAGACTCCGCAATGTTACGCGTCCATAGCATCCAGACGCAATCCATCGAGCCTGTCTTCCTCCCTAAACACACGTCTCAGTCCTTCGCGAAAAAGGCAGATCTTGCTCTTGCCTTCTCCTCTGATCACCCCAAGGTCGCAGCGGCTCTCGAACCTGTGCATAAGGCGAACCCAGACTTGGCTCTTAGCCAGATGACAGACGCATATACAAGCACGGTGCCGTTGGTTTGCTGTTTGAAGGTTAAAGAGCGTGGGGGAGACTATAACGAGGCGATCGTACAGTTAGGAATTTGGTGCACGGCGGGCTTAGAGCGGTTGCGTGGGTTGTGGGTGCGTACCAGTGATGGTAGTGATGGAAACTCCGAGCTGGAGGAATTACCCCCATTCTTGGGCTGGACAGTTGTTGGCCATGATTGGAAGTTCCATATTGTATGGAAGGATGCCAGTGGAAATGTGGTAAGAGCGTTTCCCTGCAATTACGATATATTCCTAACATGTTTTCCCTTCACAGATTGTACTTGGTCCCTGGCGAGTATTGAACGCGGGCACGGGCAGCCACACTGAGATCTTAATCTTGCTATCGCTCATACAAAGTGTGAAGAGGTGGTTAGAGGGAGAATATTGGGCATGGCTTTGTGAGAATGTTCTAGACAAGTGGAGGTAGTATTAGGTAATTCCAATATTTCATGAAATATAATAAAATGTCCCTGCCAAAATTCCACGAACCTAGCATGACGGTCAAGAGGGTGGAATAATATATAGAAGCACCCTCCTGCTTTTCCAATCTGCCCCGTGACAGAGGGTTCACTCCTGTTTCGGGGTCGGGCGTCATGGTTTCTTCTGAATTATGTTGTTATGCGGCACCTCTTATAATGATGCACTTCTCTGAAGCAAGAGTAAAAGACTTGAATTCCTTGCCTTGCTCTACAAGAGCAAACAGGCATATATATACACCATCTCGTAATATCCATTGCCGTATCTATTTACCGAAAATGTTTTCCACCGCGTCCGTGTTCTTACTGATATCACCGTACCTATCAACAAATTACAAGGACTGAAGCGATTTAAGTTGTCTTGAAGCTAAGGCTCATCACCTGCTATACCAAGCGAAACAACGGGCGGTCGGAATAGGTGATTGAAATCCACCTGTGTCACAGATCTAACAGCTTTTGACTCGCTTTCCACTCCGACCTTCTAGATCGGTTTCATCTCCTTTATCCCTTTTATTTCGACTTTCCGCATCTGATTGAATCTCAGGGTTTTGCTGTAGACCTTCTACCGAAATCAGTAAGAGGTTTTGTAAAGAAACAGTACGCCTACCTTGGAGCCTTTTTTTCTCTTCTATAAGAGATTCAATATGGCCGCCTGCATTCACACAGTCATTTTGAAGCCTGAGAATGTTTTCTGTATAATTCTTTAGTCCCAAGGCACTCGGCTCTATCAAATAATATTACCTTCCAATATTGATTTCTCCCTCTCGAGGAGAATAATCCGTTCTAGTGAGTGTGAGTGACTTTTCGTTAAGATACAGTGATATGTAAGCTACCTTGCTTCAATTTCTGAATTGACTCTTGTTGCTTCATAAATTCTATAGAGAATGTGAGCCTTGTTAAGAGATGTAAAAGTTACATAATACTTACCTACAATACCATCTACCATAGGAGGCAGAAGCTCATGAGTTTCACGTTCGAGAACCTTGCCTTGCAACATTCTCCGAAGCATTGTCCCTACCACTATAATCATTAACAAATGTTAGACACAGTTTAGCACAAACTAACCTTGTAGTTGTGTAATCATTGTGTTTTGACCATGATACAATACTGAATCCTAAATATCTATAAGCTCTGAATAGATCATTATTATCTCGATTATGACCTACTGGCTCAGCGGTGAGATCAATGCTATGATCTGGGTTCACAGCCTGCCCAAGGTTCTGACATGCGGCCCTAAATATAGTTTGAGTTGAATTTAAGCTTTAAGATACTAATTAATATCCTCAACGTACCATACCGCAGGGGATACATCAACGGTGCATTCTACTATTGTCTTTGCCGCTACCCACTCCTTAAACTATCTCTGACCCCAAACCCACCCGTCGCATCAACAGGCGTCAAAAGACTAACCATCGTATCCCTATCCCCATTCCTTCCAGAAGACCGAAAAGTAGACACCTCATCACCCATCTGACTAACCTCATCGATATCACTTACCTTCCCTCTTGCCTTCTCCCTCACACTTACAGAGGTAGAACCCAGACCAGGCGCGGTGATGGGCGTGAATCCCTCTCCCTCACCCTCGGCTGTTCCCGTTCCCCTCTCGTCTCCAGATGCCATCAAAGCAGGATCTGAGAAAACTTCATCCTCACCCAACTCCACCATCGGCGTCCTCCCACTCCCACTCCCATTCCCATTCCCATTCCCATTCCCATTCCCACCCTCCAAATTCCGAGAACCCCCACGAAGGGGATTCAAAGCAACAGGCACACCCTCCAACTCCTGCGGCCACATAATAGGATTCCCAGCAATCTCCACCTTGGCACTCACACCCTGCATCTCACTGATATACTTACTCGCCTGTCCAACATAAGGATTCTGCTCAGTATCCCCCAGTCTCTTGCCTGTATCGATTTCGGCCGTGGGGGTGCTTGGTCTCTTCCCTAATTTCAGTGCTGCGGCTTGATTCTTGCGTTTTTTACGGAGGTAGAAAAGGCCGGTGAGAAAGAGGAGGAGGAGGAGGATGGAGGTGCCGAGGATGATGCCTGCTATTGTGCCGGGTGGGAGAGGGGTGTGTTTAGATGTAGGGTGTGGGGTTGTTGAGGGAGAGGGAGTAGGAGAGGGAAGGATGGTGGGTAAGGTTGGGGGTAGAGCTACGATATCATTCTCATCCTCATCCCCGTCTTCGAATTTCGCCTGCAGAACTTGGAAAGTCCGACTATTATAATGCGCCACCACACCCACCTCCTGCAAAAACACACGTCCTAGTGCATAACTCCCCTCCGGCGCCCGTCTCAGCGGGAAATACCTCGAGGTCCGATTTACTAGTAAAGGAGGAGCGATTTGGAGGTCGAAAGCCGCATAAGGAAGTGTAAAATCCAGGGTTTGAGAAGAGCTCTTTTGGTCGGAGAGTGTGAGTGTGATATTTGGGTTTAGAGCTAGGAGGGAGGCGTGTTGAGTGGTGTTTAGGGGGTAGAACCCAGAGATGGGATCGAAGACTAGCCCAAATGCTTTTTCGAATTCTTGACAGACGCTCAGGGGGAGCCAGAGTTCGGAGAGCGTCGAGTCGATAAACGCAAATTCCTGTTTCTCCATAAGTACCCTCTCCCTCCCTCCATCTATCACAGCACTAGCACTAATCCCCCTCAGCGTAACAACCAAATCCCTCAGATTATCCTCCGCCATCGCAAAACGGACATCATTCCCCACGAACCGCGCGCGATCATAGCCACCGAAGATAAGGGAGCCAAAGACCCCCTTGAGGCGGTAGACGGCGCCGGCGGTGTAGGACCAGCTTTGCGAGATATTGCCGTTGGTCCAGAGGGTGGAGGAGAAGGAGGGTATGGGGTGCTCGTAGGTGGTTTGGTTGGTGGGTTGGAAACCGAGGCCGAGGTACCCGAGGTAGAAGGAGGGGGAGACGATTGCGGAGATGAGTTGGTGGGGGAGGGTGGGGCCTCTGC